CTCCGTGGTGGCGTTTGTTGACAGCGACTTCCTGCTGTGCAAGCATGCGGTGTCTGTGAGTGGGGCTGTGAGCGTGTCGGGCTCCGCTGTGGCGCTTGTGCGGAGCGAATTTTTGTCGACGGGGGACTACGCGGTGGCGTTTTATTCGACGGTGAGCCTGGCCGACGGGTCGATGCTGCTGGCGAAGGGCAACGTGCACGACGGCGTCTCGAGGGAGATGCTCTACGCCGCTGGCGCCGTGACCGCTGCTGGGAGCACGCTGAGCTTTGTGCGCAACCGAGCGCTGCTGCCGCGGATGCTGTCGCTGAGCCTGTCGCTTGCGGCAGGGGCGCATTTGAGGGTGGCGTGCAACGACGCTGGTAGACGTGTCCTATCGACGGCGGAGGAGTACGCAGCAGCTGGCTTTGGCGACGCTGGGGGCATCGACGTTGCTGGGTGCGACGCCTGCGACAGGGACACGTACTGCTACGCGCCCGGGACGGCGTCTGCAAGCATTAAGAACGGTGTATGCGTGTGCGAGTGCGGCAGCGGCGGGTACGGCGAGGCGTGTGTGCCTGTGGGAGCTCCCGTGCTGCCGCCTGCTGTGGGCACCGCGTCGAGTGTGTTCGTCCGCGAGAACTTGACGGTGCGGTCGGTGTTCGTTGTGCCTGCCGGCGCGAGCGAGGTGACGCTGCGCCACGTTGTGCTGGACGGCGTGAGTCCGGTGCTCTACGTGCCGTGGATGGCGCGGGACGGCGTGCGGATCGTTGTGCAGAACGTGTCGCTGCTTAACGGTGCCGTGCTGTACGTGATGGGCGGTGGAGGGTTGCGCGGTGCGGGTGCGGCGGGGAGCGACGAGAGCGGGCCGGTGGAGCTGTCGGTGTGCGATTTGGAGGCGCTGAACGGTGCGCTTGTGCTGACCGGCACGTTCCCCGCGGGGTCCGTGCTGACGGTGACGGACTCCCTGCTGGTTGCCGCGAGGTCGACGCCGCTTGTGTATCTTCCCGGCTCGCAGTCCTCGCCGTACGCACCGGTGCTGGTGCTGTCGGGCCTGCGGCTCGTGCGGTCCGTGCTGGTTGTGTCTGGCGTTGCCCTCGTGACCGTGATGACTGGTGGGCGGA